TGCCACCACAGTCATTCATGAAAGCCCTCGGTTAAGGGATTGAATTATTTGGTACGGAGTGAGACACCACTTTTACAGTAAAATCACAATAGCTCAAAGTGAGATAACTCTACTTATTTCAAAGTAAAGTAGATGCTTCTTTCTTGTCACGAGAATAGAATAGTAAATACATGTACCAAACAGGAAATGCCTGTGCCCAGTGACTCTGTTTAGCTCTGAAGATTTGTCTGGTTAGGCTAAAAAAAAACACAGCTGAAGCTGTGAAGACGTCTGAACAATGTATGAAACTTTCCATGAGGCATGCCGTCTAATGCACCTTGTTTCCATGTGAAGTCAATGACACAAAATAAAGGTGTTGATGCAGTTGCACTGACATTTAAGTAGTTTAGTGCTTCATCTATCTATGAAGCAGGCACAAGACAAGAACTATACAGAATCTAAGGACTGAGCTTTCTGATGGAAGAGAAGTGCACTGTTATAATCATTCAGACAAAGGGAAAGTGACCACTGTGTAGCCAGGCACCTTGGGAGCCATTCATGTGCCATAATTGCACAGGACTGTAGAAAAATCAGGAATCATGCTGAAGTTGAGCCTGATGTTCTGGCACTTCATTGTTTAGATCAGCTGCCTTGAGATTTGACTTGAGAAGCTAATGCTGTATCTTGTCAACTCTTTTAGGCTTGGCCTGACAGTACACCGGTTGGGAGTTGGGACACAAGAAATGCTTTTCCAGCACCAAAGCAATTATTAGGGCTTTTAGTTTGGGGGGGATTGAAATAGTTATCCCACAACACTTCAAACACTTTGATTAGATACTTGTGCACTTTCCTATGGCGCTTAGTGGACCACTGGCTCCATAGGAAAGTGCATGTGTAAAAGTGTGATGTTCCAGTAGGCCTACTTAACCTTTCTGTTTGAAAATGCAATTGCTCTGGATCAAACTTTGATATTATTTCCATTGGCTGCTTCTTTGCTGTGGATATATTTACAAATAACTTAACCTTTTTCTTTTTCTTTGCATTTTATTGCAGAACCCCCCTGGAGCCAATGGGGAATTTGGCTCAGACACCACGGAGTACGCCAAGGCCAAGTTTGACTTCAATGGAGAGGAGGAAGGCGAAATCACGTTCCACATGGGCGACGAGATCGAGATCCTGAAGAAGCTGGACGAGAACTGGTGGGAGGGCCGGCTGCGGCCCAAGGCGGGCCAGAGGATGGGCATGAAGGGGCTTTTCCCCGCCTCCTACGTCCAACTCATCAAATAACGGGAGGCGCGTGAGTCCAGATTGCCTTAGGATAGTAAGCATAATTAACAGGCCGTTTGAAATGAGAGCGCACGCTGGATAATTGGTACACATTACACAGGCATCAAACTTGAAGTTGGGCTTCAGTGTGACATACTGCAGATTTTTGTGCTGTGAAAAACCTTTGTTTCCAACACAAAATCAAACACATGCATTTTGGTTCATGTTTTCTTTAGTTCCTCTTTTGTCTTTTTTTGTAGTCTGTGAAAGGAGCATGAACCGTAAGCAATTTTCATATTCCTGTTCAGTTGCCGATAGATTTTCTTATTCTTTTGGAAATTGTCTTTGAAAACGAGGTATAGTCTTAAAGTTATTCAACAGACTTGATCTGCATTTGTTTTTAAACAGGAGAATGCTTTTTTTTGGGGGGGGTTAGAAGTTGGAGAAAAGGTGAGGAATTTTGAGTTTCAATTGACTCCAAGGGACCTGGCCAACAGTCGCTGTTTGTTCACCCTGGTGCTTTTCTTCAGCAGGAAACACAACCCACAAATATCACATGAAGTGTTTTAATAGTTGGATGCAGGCAGTGCTGCACATTATAATGCAGTGAATTGGACAGCCTTGACTACAGCCACATAGATGCAAGGCCTTGTGACATGAGGCTCAATGACAACCTCCTGTCATCCGAGGTTTCAACAATTGCTTCTTGAGATTGTTCTATTTTGCTGTTTGACTAGCCGTATTGCACAAGTGAGCTCTGAAGGTGCAGTCCTTGAATGTGCCATGAATATTCAGATGAACTTAAATCCACACAGAGGTCTTTCTTGCCATCGGCACGTTCGGTCACTTTCATCATGTTTACTGTTGCAAGTGCAAATTCATCCATTTGTAAATTCATTCAGTTTGACTCTTATTAAGTGAGTTCTTGTGCTTACTGAAGCTTGGCCTAGAAGTAGCCATATGCTGGTTACTTTGAGAGGGTGTCCTACAGTATAATGCAGAAACTTGGCAGCGTAGTCAAACATTGCTAAGGAAAGTTGACACCATTGTTAGTACTCTGTAGTTCAAAAATATTGTTAAGTATTGTGGCAAATTGGCTCACGTTGTAAAAGAAAGGCCAGATATGTGTGTTTGAATGCCTGTTGCATTCTTACTTTCAGGTTCATTTTGCCAATGAAATCAATGTATGATCTCTTGACCTGGTTGAAGTCACTTCAAGTAACCAGAGATCATTCGTTGATACTCACAGATTGTATATGCCCATCCATCCCTGTGACAAATGCAATAAGGAAGTAACCAAACATGCTGTATGTGTAGCAAGTAATGTCTAGCCAGTGGCATTGTAGCTTGCTGGCGCAAAGAGTGCTGTGGGAGAGAAAGTGAATGTACGATTGATGTAACTCAGAAAACCGAAATTGTCAGGGAAGTGCAGGGGTTCAAAAGCCAATTCACACATTGACCTGGAGGAGATTCGAGCGTAACTCACTGAGGCTGAAGGCAATGATAGCACATGCACAATGGCATCAGTTGGTGGCCATGGTGAAACTACTTGACAATGACACGATAGCTTGAGAAGCTGCTAGCAATTGGCTGCTGCCATTTCTCATTGACCTGTGTGTTCCTGTGAGCCCTAGCCAGGTAATTTGGACAAAGCCTGACTGGCCAAAGTAAATGATCGCTTAAAATCACTGGCTCCTTCCATGCAGAGAGAGAGTGAGATGAAAGCATTTTGGCCAGCCGTGAATTCTTACTGAGATGGCAGGAAGAGGAAAGTAGTGGCACACCTTGTCAAAGTTGTAGTAGACAAAAACCAAACAGAGATGTGGTGTAATGTAATTACCAGTACCTGTAGGTTATTCACCAGCAGCTTAAGGTATATGTAACCTCTTTCCTTAAGTTCATCATTGTCTGTAAAGTGGTCATGATTGTGGGAGTGTCCCTTGTTTTCAGTACCTTGTATTTTCAATATCACAACAGACCAAAGTGAGCACAAGACCTTGATGTACTCAACATGTCAACACCCCCCCACCCTGTTCTGTCTAAAGCCCTGTGCCTGCTGTTGATCTAGAAACCATCCATGAGCCAGTGATTTCACACAGCAACTGCCACTGTGCTGGGGTCATCATACCCTTGCTTTCGTCTGTCCCTTGCTCTGTTGAATCCAACAGCAAGGCTGTCTTGATCCTGATCTGAGCCTGTTGGTCAGTGGCGACTTTCAAGTTGGAATGTTTAGATCGTGCAGACCTTGATGATGTGAAACTCTTATCCAGAAGGGTGAAAGGAGAATTTATAATACAGGAGGAAGAATGATTGCCAGTGATTTCCAATGATTTCCAATGATGGTATTTTTGTCTGTTCTGTATTATGGATCCATCTATTCAATGCACACAGAAACAATGTTTCAGCAACTTTGGAAGACTTTTTAGTAGAAAATTGCTGCTGTATAACTCATTTTAAGGCTATATTAAAGACGTGAATCAGGCATTTGCTTCTTAATGCATAGCTTATTGATAAGCATAGGTCTAAAAGATGATAGTGTTGCATCTATGCATAAACAAAAAATCATGTGTACAAAAACTGTAACATGGTGAATGGTTTCCGTTCTTGTACCTATAAATACTTTAATATGTATAATAATGTGTGAGTTAATGAATGGACGTAAAGAGATAATGATGAAATGGTGGGAGGGCAAAAAAGATATGATGTGCAGAGCAGAAGCTGTGGTATGTATCTTGCATGCTTGCTTATTTTTGTACACAGTGCCATGTAATGTCATCTTTGTTTAATTGTCAATTTCTGTAGTTTGTGCTGCAGTGCATCGTGTTCTGAGAGAGTCACTGTTGTGACTTGTTTGGTCTAGTTGTTGGGTGCTCATGTCTGCTGTACTACCCTGACAGTACAACTCGGACACCATCTTAGGTTGACAGGAGGTTTTGGTTTACACTGTGCCAAATTTCTTGTGTGTTGGGTTGGTCTGTGAGGTTGGATAAGGTAGACCTGGAAAAATGCTGTCCTTGATCAAAGAGGGTAATGAGGTGAGGAACGGTGCAGAGAAGGGGAAATTGTGTCCCTTTCCTCACTACATTTCCCTCAAATTTTGAGATCACTGATGGTGCATGTGACAACTTCTGTCAGGGAAACCCTTTGCAAGTTGACCTGGACTGAGTGTCATGGAGGTCCCATTCAGAAAAATTATGGTCAATTATATGGAATGACATATGTGGAATTACATGGCAAATTATGTGGAAAGGTAGTTGGCTTGGAACCAGACACGAGTAGTATTTATTGCATATTGCATGACTTTTTGGCTGGTAGCCTGAGCCAATATTCTCTATGTTTACCAGCTCTATGGAAATTTCCCAGTTCTGACAGTGGCCTGTTTGTTAATAACGTGAAGCAGTTCCCACTTGGGCGACATCTTGTGAAAAAAAGAGACCCTATTGCCATGAGTCATGTTGGTCCTTCACAACATGATAACTCCACAGGTTTAGGAAATACACGTATGCACAAGGAAAACCCTTGCAAGTTGTCTCAGTGATGTTGGTTTGTGTGTTTTTTCATGGTCTTTTAGTTGCTTGAGATTTGAGGTGAAATAAGGAACACTTCCCAGACCAATCTTTGCCCTGGACCAAATGTGGTAGTTGTACCACAGCTGAAAGTGTTGAATTGCGCTTGGATTGTAATCATTGCATTTGCTGCAGCTAGCACTGCATACCATAGTACAGAATAATGTGGACAAGATGAGAATGTTTTCACGAGAAGAGATAACCGAAACAGGAGCACAGAAATGGTGCTGTGAGGGAAACAGCAATGCTGAAGAACTGACAGAGGGACAAGTGGAGAGTACAGTCAAATGGCATTTATTTTTGTATTTGATAAGTTTTTTATTTTTTTTTTCCTGCTATATGATGGCATACTGCTGGAGTGGAGTATTTTGATGGAGAGTTTGCATGTAGATGCTCATCTGAATTGTCCCAATGAAAGCTGTGGCTGTGGTCAGTCTAATGGTCAGTCATACTGACAGCTGCACTTTTTTTAATGAATTTCATGACATAAAAGAACTACATAGACCCCACACATATACAATTTGTATATTATTAAACATTAGTTGTATTTTGTAACATTTAAATTGTTGAATAGCGCTATGTGAGTAACAAAAATTATGTGTAAAATTTATATTGCAGGACTACTCCTCATATAAAATATTACCAGGATATTTTTTTCCAATAGTAACAACCATGCTTATTAACCCTCCTTTTGGTTTTTCAGCACAAATGTGCATGAGTGCCCATAGTCACTCTTGTGCATGTATTTTCTACATTGAACACAAACATGCAAAGGTTCAGTGTGTACACAGTTGGTTGCCAGCACAAACTGACACAGGGTCTTTTGTGCAGTCTTCTTCACTGCATTTGGTTTACTGCACAATTATGCATGTGAAAC